GGCATCTGTTTCCCAAAAATGAATTTGTCAGTCAGTCTGGAACTTTGAACATTTTCTTGTAGGAAACCCATACAAATACCGCATGAGCCCAGACTGCACCATACAGGCACATTTAACCCATTATTAGACTTTCTGATTTCTGATTTTTTGTGATGATTCTGTCTTAATCTTTTTTGAATATGAATCAAAACATGAACTGTTTCATAGCCTGTGCATGTTGAATATAACAGACATGTTACTGAGCTTTGAAACATGCTCTGTGCTACGTGATTATACATTTGATATCTAATTTAATTCTCCTTTATAGCTAGTAAGTGGCAGATGCCATCTTTATACTGAGTGCAATTCGGAAGGAAGCCCCAGCTCTTTCTGCCTCACCAGGAAGACTGAATCTAAGGAGCTGAATGTTGTTCTGGAAACCTTTATTTTTAAATGTAACTGTTAAAAGTGATAATTATGAAATTTTTAATAAACTAACTCTTTTATTTTTAGTGAACATGAAAAGATTACTTTGTACAAAAATTACCTAAAATTGGAGTCTTCCACACATGCTTGTAAACTAAAGGTAAGTCGTTCCCACATTTTAACTGAGTTGAAAACTACAATTGCTCTTCTACTGTATGTACTGCTTTTCTGTTTGTTTGGTAATGTACTTAGTCCCGTTTAGTCCCTGGTTTTAGTTCAGAAATACTTAGGAAACATGTTAAAAAAAACTCTTTTCTAAAAACTTATCAACATTCTTCTGTTAAAATTTGACCATTTATTAGCCATGATCATGTCATGTCCTGTTGTTAATAGAGCAGTATTGTACTTTTCAGCCTTGCGAAACTGAATTAAAAAACTTTTTTTCTCTTTATACAAAAGTCAAGTGGCAAGAAAACCACAAGCAGTTTTGGTCCCCAAATATCTAAATAGATAAAGAGATAGAACACAATTAGAGACGTTTCAGACAAGGGCACCACAAAGTGAAAGGGATCTGGACTGGTGTCTTCAGCATGAAAAGTATCGTTAAGGTGAACTTCAGTGATGTCGTCAGGGTCTAGGGAAAGGGTGCTGAGCTGGAAGTCACAAGCCCTGACTACTAAATGTGCTCTCTTGCTGACGAGCAGAGGAACCCTGGGCAAGTTTCTTCACCTGTTTGGACCTACTTCATGGGTAATACTAGGGGATGGAAGAAAATAAATCCTTGGATTGATTATTTTTATGTCTACAATTCTGTGCTGATTATTGTTTACAGAAGACCACAGAACTGATTGTCTCAAGATGTGTTTTAGGTGGATATAGTAATAGCTTCCAAAGCCACTTAAATAAAGTGACTCGTTATCCAAGAAACATTTGAGTGCCTGTTGATGCCAGATACTGTTCTGAGCACTTAGGGATTGGCATTTATGAAATAAATTGGAATGAAGGCCTCAACGTTGAGAGTATTACAGTGGTCAAGACACATGATAAGTCAATTCAGTGTGAATAATAGGTGCCACGTTCCCTAGTGAGAAAGGCTTTCAGGTTAAAAAGCAGAAGAGGGACAACGTGGAGGTTGGAATGTGGGTGTATGCATTTCATGCGCTATTTCCTTCCGTGTTGCTGAGTCACGTCTTTGGGGCCGTGCTGAGTTTTTACTTCATGGGTCTGTATTCACCTGCGTCTGTGTGATTTATGGGTTTGCTGTGTCTCTGAAGCTGAATGGTGTGTGTAACTGTGCTGTGGGAGAGCCAGGCCGGGCACAGAGTGTTTCATTTAGGGAATCCTTGGGTCTGTGTGAGGGCTTCAGCTGGGGCAGCAGTGTGTGAAAGTTAAAAGTAATGGTTACTGCTGCATAGCTTTGAGCATTTACTCAATGATATATACTGGAAATTTTAACACATAATGCTTAAAACAACCACGTGAAATCATTTTACTCCTGACTCTGGTTGACATTTACCCAGCGGCATCCAGGCAGAGCCATCACTGAACTCAGGCCTGTCTGCTTCTCAGTCCTGCTTTCTATCCACTCTGCTCCTTTGCTCTCCCACACCACACATGAAATGTCTTTGGTTTAGAAGCGTGGACAAGACGAGGCAGCATAAAGCATTGGAAAAGTTCCTGGGATAGAAGCCAGGAAAACAAGGCTCAAAGCCTGACCTTCATTTAATCTTTTGAAAAGTTAGAAAATCATGCTGAATTCATCATTTCTAAGGGTAAACTGTTGAGCTCTATTCTGTTATCTTGACTTTTCCTTATGGTTCTAAATTCTAAAATTCTGACTTATATTTAGTATTTCAGCAAACACTTTGCATGAGATTCTGGACAGCCTTACATTAAATAATGCTATAGCAAGTTTCAGTATGTTAAGGTCTCAGATTGGTATAGTTTATCTTTAATTCCTTTACACATAATACTTTATTTTATAAGGACTTTTAAAACATTACATTATTCTTTGAGTCTTTTTCTGACTGTGAATATTCTAGAGAAA